ATGATGCAGCAGTTCTGAGAGACATGCTTTTGAAGTATCATGATTAGTAACACATGCTTTTCTTATTTTTAATAAATTAGAGAGTTTAGGGATATACCTAACAAAAGACGTACAAAATCTGTATTTTGAAAACAGCAAGTCAGAACTAAAAAGTTGGAACATCTCAGTAAGTGAAGAGACTTTTTGTTCAAAGAATGGAAAACTTGGTTTCATGATATTTCCCCCCAAATTGATCCATAAATTCTACCTAATCCCTATCATCGTCACACAGTTGTTACTGATGGTAGTTTTTCACTTGTTTTTATAAAGTAGTGAATCAATTCTAAAAGTATTTGCCTTTAAATTTCCTGATGTCATTGTTTTTTAATACTAAGTAATACTCCATTATGTAAATGTACCACATTTTCTTTATCCATTCTTTGGTTGAGGGCCATCTAGGTTGTTTACAGGTCCTGGCTGTTACAAATAAAGCTGCTATGAACATAGTTGAGCAAGTGTCCTTGTGGTATGATTAAGCATCCTTTGGGAATATACTCAAGAGTAGTATAGCTGGGTCTGGAGGTAGATGGATTCCCAATATTCCAAGAAACTGCCATTCTAATTTCTAAAGTGGCTGTCCAAGTTTGTACTCCCACCAGCAATGGAGGAGTGTTCCCCTTACTCCACATCCTCTCCAGCATAAGCTGTCATTTGTGGTTTTGATCTTACTCGTTCTGATAGGTGTAAGATAGAATCTCAGTCATTTTGATTTGCATTTCCCTGATGTCTAAGGATATTAAACATTTCTTTAAGTGTTTCTGTGCCATTTGAGATTCTTCTGTTGAGAATTCTCTGTTAAGATCTGTACCCCATTTTTTACTTGGATTATTTGGTATTTTGATGTCTAGTTTCTTGAGTTCTTTATATATTTTGGAGATTAGTCCTCTGTGATGGATGTGGGGTTGGTGAAGATCTTTTCCCATTCTGTAGGTTGCCATTTTGTCCTATTGACAGTGTCCTTTGCAAGGGGAGGTGCTTAGTTTTGTTTTTTTTTTTTTTTTTCTAGACAGGGTTTCTCTGTGTAATTTTGATGCCTATCCTGGAGCTCACTCTGTAGATCAGGCTGGCCTCGAACTCACAGAGATCTGCCTGGCTCTGCCTCCCAAGTGCTGGGATTAAAGTTTTGTGCCACCAACGCCCGATGCTTAGTCTTACCACAACTTGATATGCTTTGTTGATACACATGGGAGGCCTGCCCCTTTCTGAATAGAAACAGAGGAGGAGTGGATGGGGGCAGGCAGGGGAAAGGGAGGGGAAACTGCCATTGGAATGTAAGGTAAATATGTGGTGGTATTTTGTTGTACCCTAATTAAAAAAAAATTTTTGCCTGAAGATCAGAGGACAGAACAGGCCACTAGATTAAACATGGCACACACACCTTTAATCCTAGCACTGGGAGGCAGAGATCCATCTGGATCTCTGTGAGTTCAAAGCCACCCTCGATTACATAAGATTGATTCAGTCTAGCAGAGAAACAGAGCCAGGCAGTGGTGGCACACATCTTTAATTCCAGTACTTGGTAATCACACTCCTTTAACCCCAGCACTTGAAATCTCATGCCTTTGCTACCAGTATTTGGGAAGCACACATGCCTTTAATCCCAGCACTAGGAAGGAAGTAGCATGGCTGGGCAGAGAAGGGTATATAAGGCATGAGGAGACAGGAACTAAAGCCTTTTCGGCTGGACCCCTTTCTGCTGAGGACTCAGAGACATTCAGTCAGAGGATTTCTTGGAGTTGACGAGGTGAGAAATAGCTGTGGCTTGTTCCTTTGCCTCTCTGATCTTTCAGCATTTATCCCATTTATCTGGCTCCAGGGTATTTTTTATTATAAGACCTTTAGGAATTCATACAACATAAATAAATTAATTAAATTTTAAAAAGACTACAATAAACTAATTATCCTTTATGTTGTAGAACATTAATTTTAGTAGCTTTGCTTTATAAAGTAACATGACCATAATAAAGAAACTAATAGAAAACTTAAAAAAAAAGAATATTCTTTAGTCTTGAGAACACATACACAATGCAGATAATACAGACAAATGTACAAAACTTTTTTTTTTTTAATGTTTAGAGACAGGTTTTCTCTGTGTAACAGCCCTTCCTGGAACTCACAAGATCTACCTGGCTCTGCCTCCCAAATGCTGGGATTAAAGACATGTGCCTCCATGCCCAGCTGCAAAACATTTTTTTTAATTCAAACGACTAACCCCAATATTTTACTTTTTATAAGTAATCCAACATTCTCTTGGATGCTAAAGAATAAGTCTAACCTTCCAGATATCTAGCAGGATGCCCATATGGGTGTGGACATAAAGTATTTGAGTATACACAAGTACAGTCACCAAGCCTTATTGCTTCATTTATCACAGGAAGTACCAGACTTATGCAGTATTTGAAGAAAAGCTGTTCTACTTGTGTAGATTCTCATGGGAGTGACCACAGGCATTATGCCAATTTAATCCCAAGTATTAAAGTTAGGGTTTTAAATGACATGTAATAGTATGATTTATTTTCTGTCTTGAGCTTTATAGGGCACAAAACAAGATCCTATCCTTACATATTGCTTTTTATTTTTAGAGTCAGAGTGATGATAAAAATCTAAGCTTAAGAACTGTCAAATGATTTATGATATTTCATTTATTTTTCAAAGGATTGGAATGTCACCAGTGAGCCCATTAGAATTGTAGACTTAAAGCACCACGATTTTTAAAAAGACCAGCTGCATAAACAAGTGTGCAAACTTTGTAATTTAATTCTATGTGATTTTTTTTTAACACTTCAAAGTGCCAAAGAAGGCAGTTTTTCTTAGGTTATAAGTAGTTGTCTGAGTTGAGTCATTATAACCTCAGACCTTGAAGCTCATTTCAAGACCTCCTCTCTAAAATGCTTATACTTCTATATTGTGTTGAGTACAACCTCAAGACAACTGTGTAGCTACCCTGGGTGTCCTTTCTTCATGAGCTGACACTCGTATGGGTGGAATGTGGAGGAGCTGGAGACTACCTGTGAAAAGATTCAAGTCTGTATCAAGGGATGAGGAGTATAAAACTTTTGAGGATGTGTTTCTGTTGCTGTGATAAAAGCAACTTAAAGGAGAGGGGTTTTATTCTAGCTCACAATTCCAGGTTACAGTCCATTATTGTAAGGAAGCGAAGGCGCCATGAAGCAGCTGGTCACATCTACAGCTAAGAGCAGAGAGAGAATGAATGGGTGCATGCTTACAAGTGATCAGCTCGCTCTTTTCTTCATTCAGTCCAGGGCCCAGCCCATGAAATGGTACCTTCCACATTCTTAGTGGGTCTTCCCACCTTACCCCACCTCAATTAATACAATCAAGTTGACCCCCCACAGACATGGCTATAGGCCAACCTGATCTAGACAATCCCTCATTGAGACTCTCTTCCCAAGTTGTCCTAAACTATGTCAAGTTGACAATTAGACCACTATCATAGTGGTAAAATGCTTTAAACTTCAAAGTTTAAAGGATTTATCTGTTTGTCTATTATTATTTTTTTATTTGAAGTGCCAGCTATGAAACCCAGGGCGTCACACATGCTAAACAAGTTCTCTATCCCCACCACTAAAGCAGTTTTTCATTCATAGATTTAGATTTGAGGTAGTTATAAATGCACATAAACGTTCAATAATACACATGACATTATACACCCTTCTCAGTGGTACTCTCTAGAGCAGTGGTTCTCACCTTGTGGGTTGGGACCCCTTTGGGGAGTTGAACAACCTTTTCATGGGGGTTGTATATCAGATAGCCTGCATATCAGATATATACATTATAATTCATAACAAAATTATAGTTATAAAGTAACAATGAAATAATTTTACGGTTGGGGGTCACCACAACATGAGGAAGTGGTCGCAGTAAAGGGTCGCAGCATTAGGAAGGTTGAGAACCACTGCTCTAGAGTATTAATATTAATACAGTCTTCATCTTTTTCAGTTGCCTAATTTTTCTTGAACTCGTGTGTGTGTGTGTGTGCAATTCTTATTTCAGGTATAGCTTTTTGTAACTATGTTCAAAAATGAAGGTTTCCATTACAGAGAGTCTTCATATGGCCCTTTTATAGCCCTGTTCTTCTAGTGTTTCACCTGTCTACCTCCATTCATAAGCTCTGCCAATCACTGGTACCTTCTCTTAGAAGGTTTTCTTAGTATTTACATTTCAGTATTGTGTAAGTAGACTATTAAGTGAATAACCTTTTAGTATATTTTCATTTAGTATAATACCTTTGATACTCATTCAAGTTATTACATGATCTATAGTTCATTTGTTTTCATTATTGAGTAATAGTCTGTCAAAATATATTTTGATATTTTGTTTACATATATGAGAAAATAACGTAAAATGTCACTTTAAAAGTACCAAAGGCAGCCGGGCGGTGGTGGCGCACGCCTTTAATCCCAGCACTCGGGAGGCAGAGCCAGGCGGATCTCTGTGAGTTCGAGGCCAGCCTGGTCTCCAAAACGAGTTCCAGGAAAGGCGCAAAGCTACACAGAGAAACCCTGTCTCGAAAAAACCAAAAAAAAAGTACCAAAGGCATTACATTGTTGAATCTTACTTCTTAATTCAGAGTATAGATGAGTTTTGACATGTTAATCATTTAGATTAGTTTTATCTGAACATACTAAGAATAGATGAGTCAGTGTTGGTGTACTGAGACTGTTTCCAGTGGGAAAGAGGAACATCTTTCTACTCCCTTATTCATCAAGATGAAAACCTGCAGGGCTGGGAGCACCAGGCAGCTCTTCTTTCTGATTCCCTTGTGTGCAGCCTGTGATCACTCAGCTAGATCTCCATGAGACCAGTGTTCCCCATGTGAATCTCCTACCTGTGTGCCTGTGTTTGGTTTCTCATCTAAATGGTTATTTTCTTTAAGTTCTGTCTAACTGAAATACTTCTCCCCTCCTTCTACGCCCCTCCCCCTTTCTCTGCTTCCCTAGGGAGGGTGAGTTAAGCAAGACTCTGAAGCTGTTTAAGAGTTGACTAGGAAGTGAGCAGTTTGAACACTGGAAGGGGTGAGGGACTGCAGTGATGAGGAGAACAAGGTAAGCAGCAGGAACTGGATGGGGCCAGAGTTACTACATTGTCTAGGAAATGAGAGAGGCACCACAGTGTTAAGGAAGTTCCCTGATGTCAGACAATAATGGGAGAGATAGGTTTTGAATGCAAGGATCCTGTCTTCAAGGCCCATGCTGGGCATGCAAACAGACATGAGCCTACAGGCTTAGAGTTGAGGAGCTCAGAAAAGAGGTGTCTGAACTTCAGATTAAGAATACCAGGGGATGGCTTCTAAGCTTTCAGTGTTGTAAATAAAACCATAACTGGGTAAGATTCCCAAGAGTGAAGGTGCACAGTGAGGTCTGATGTTTACTTAGAGGAACCTCAGCATTTTCTCTCATAGAGTGAAAAGCAAGTGGTACTGGAAAGGTTGAGAGCAGTAGTCAGTTGGTGGTGAGATGAAGACCAAGCAGGCCCTGTGGATGGTGTTGACAGAAGCCATCTTGGAGAATGGGGGCAGGATGTCAAGAGAATGAACAGGAGACGAGAAAATGAATAAGAGCACTTAGGTAATATTACTCATAAGTTTATTTGCAATAAGGAATATTTAAATAGGCCTGTGGGCTACAGCTTCAGGAAGTTGTAAGGCCACATGATAATTGCTGCTGTGTAGATGTGGGTTTGTTTAAAGGTAGTGCAAGAGGGTCTGCTTAAAGAGAAGAATGCTGTTTCTGTATTGTTGAGGAAGCAGGAGCATGTAGATATCTAGCCTGAGTCAGGGCCTGGTCTCAGGAAGGAGAAGGGGCAGCTCCCCATTGTTTCAGGACTGAGATAGGCAGGAGAGGTCCTTCCATAGATAATCCTGGGAAGGCAACAAACTCCCTTTGGACAGTTCATATTTCTGTGAACAAAAAAGGAGAAATGGTTCAGATAGAGGAAGGTGTAGTACATTTTTGAGGAGTGAGGAGAAGGTTTAGGCTAGTCAGTTTAGAAGACTGACTCTGGTGTTTTCAGAACAATCAAAGCAGTGAGCTTCCTACTGCACCGTAGGCCTCCTCTTCTGAGTAGGTAAGCATCTGTAAGTTGAGGGAACAGAAGTGTTCTGGATACAGGGAGAGACAGGGCAGAGACATGGAGCTCATGATGGAACCCATTTTCCAGAGGATGAACTCAATGTTAAGGTGCAAGTAGGGCCCTTACAGTGTGTAGATACTACCATTGGAGGGCATTGCAGATGAGAAAGCAGTAAAATGTTGTACTGTGGAAAACTGGAAACACATTTCTAAAAACTGTATGTGTGAGTGTGGGCATACCAATGCTATGTGTGGTGCTTTAAGTGAGAGAGAGTGGCCTCCATGTTTGAGTAATTGGTCCCAAATTGGTGGAACTGTTTGGGAAGGATTCTGAGGTATAGTTTTGCTGAAAGAGGTCTGTCAGTAGAGGCTGGCTTTCAAAAGATTCATACCACTTTGAGTTAGTCTCAGTCTCTCTCTCTCTCTCTCTCTCTCTCTCTCTCTCTCTCTCTCTCTCTCTCTCTTTCTCCCTCCCTCCTCCCTCCCTCCCTCTCTGTCTCTGTCTCTGTCTCTTTCTCCCTCCCTCCCTCCCTCCCTCCCTCCCTCCCTCCCTCCCTCCCTCCCTCCCTCCCTCCCTCCCTCCCTCCCTCTCTCTCTCTCTCTCTCTCTCTCTCTCTCTCTCTCTCTCTCTCTCTCTCTCTCCCCTACTTGTGTTTTGAGATGTGAGCTCTTAGCTTCTTCCCCAGCTTGTTAGCCTGCTGCCATGCTTTCCTCCATGATGGCAATGGACTCTTACTTCTTAGGAACTGTAAGCCCTAAATAAATCCTTTCTCCAATAGATTACCTTGGTCATGGTATCTTATCTAAGCAATAGGAAAGTAACTAAGGGAGAAGTTGGTACCAGGAGTAGGGTATTGCTGTGACAGACTTAACCTTGTATTTTTTGGGTTTTGTTGTTTGTTTGTTTGTTTTAAGAAAAGGCTTTGGAACTTTGAATTTGAACACTTTGAACACTATAATACACCACCTAGTAAGAGCTTGGGAGATAGTGCTAAGAACAACTTGGACTGTAGAGGCTGAGTTCAAGAGGTGAGCTCTTAGCTGCTCCTCCAGCCTGTTGCTATGCTTTCCTCCATGATAGTAATGGACTTTTATCTCTTTGGAACCATAAACCTCAAATAAATTCTCCCTTCTATAAGTTACCTTGGTTATGCTATATTACCGCTGCTTTGAGGACCAGCCTTGAGCAACTCAGGGATTTAGGGGGAAACCATGGAGTCAGCAAAACTAATTATTCGACTTAACTTTTCTGTCTGAGGGAGTAAAACTTAATTCTCTGGGGCCAGTGAAAGGAGACAAAGCTTTAACTCTCTGGGGCCTTCGGAAAAAGGGGAAAAAACATAATACACCTTTAGGGTCTCTCTATCATCTTTTCTTTGTTCTCTTTATTTCTTTTCTTACCTCTATCCAGATGTATCCCTTCTGTCTCTCTTGATATCTTCCTTCTAACTAATTTTATTTTTGCCCTTACAGCTTATATATCCTATCAAAATTATAATATAGTTATATTCTATTTTTAACTAAATGATTACAGTGAATAAAAGAAAAACATTTTTTTCCCACATCCCTTACATGATTAAACATTTTATGTATTACAGGTGAAAAACAATTTGTTACAAGAACACACATACATTCATACCCAAGCAACTTATTATAGATTAACAGAGTGTAAACAAGCAAGGTATTTTTCTCAGCCCATTCTTTTGCTAGCAGGCTACATTTTGTGGTTGCAAAGAAAGGACCAATCATTTTATTACTTATCTCAAAAGGTAATCTTATAAGGAATCTTAGAAGAATCACAAATCTTATCACTTATATATGAAAAAGAATCAGTCATCTCTACTTTAAATCCTCAGGGTGCGTACCCATTCACCAACAATTTCTTTATATCAGGAAGCTAAGGGCAGAAATGAGTACAAGGAATTAGTCATCACCTTTGGTCACCAACCCATCGTAACAAGAAAGGCATGCCAGCCAGTAATAGCCAGGCTACCATTGTTCCTGCTCCCTGACCTCAATGAGTCCCTCACTCAGCTATTAAAAGTATGCCCTTAAATTGTTTTCCAAGATTTTTTCCACCTCAGAGCCATCAACAAAAACTTCTTAACCTAATCTTAAGTCATTATTTAAAGCTTTGTTTTAGCTATGATGTACACCAAAACCTGTGAACATACCTCCCAACATTAAGGTGAAAAGAACCTGAGTTAACTTAGCTTCTGGAACACAATTGTTTTTCTTAATCATTAACCTAAGCCAGTCTATATGGCTCCTCAAGAGAAACTAGCTGTGTGACATTTCCTTGTTCTTCTTTTCTATGCTCTGCAACCCCTGCTTTATCGTGGGTGGGGCAACACTGTATCTTACTTTTACCTTAATAGTTTTCCCATTAAGCTGACCTTTATCATAATCCCTTACTATATTTATTAAAGACCCTCAATCATCAAAATCCTAAAATTTAAACTAACACTATCATTGTATAAAATCATTGCTTTAGTTAAAAAGTACAGCTTAGGAGGAAATCATCTTCATAATATCCACAAGTAAAAATGCCCAGTAGAAGGTGATATTTTCATGAGATAATCACACTACATTAAAGACAGTGGGGATCCCCCCAACACCCATTCACACCATGCCATACATCAGAGAAAAATGGCTGTGACAAACATGTAAAGTCACAGCAGTAACAAGAGACATTCTAGAGCCTAAGCCCTCGGGGCCTTGCCTATTCTAGATTCTCCCATCAGAGCTTTGCTTCCTGGTGGGCCGATTTCCTGAACTTCATTTGCCACCTGCTGCTCCTCTGACATGGCCACCAGCACTGTATTACCACAGCAATAGAAAAATCTAAGCACCATGGCACGCGTGTGGTCAGAAGACAACTTTCAGGAGTAGTTTTCCCATCCCACCTTGAGTTCTGGGGGTTAAATGGAGGTCCTCAGGCTTGGGTTGCACATGGCTTTACCCACTGAGCCATCCCACTGGCCCTGTTATCATATTCTAAAATGGACACTTGTAATGCTTTAGTTTGATTTTACCTTATTTTTAGTAAAAGATTCTTCTGGGGCCTAGAGAGATGGCTTAGTGTATTGCTGCTCTTGAAAAGTCTCATGTTCAGTACCTTCCATCTACGTTCAATACCTCCCAGTGGCCTGTCACTCTGCACCCGTATGCATGTATATGCATACATATACTTAGAGACATACACACACACACACATACCTAAATATTTCTTTTAATTTTCTAACACTTTATATGTATCTGGAATTGTACTTGTTTTAGAGGATTCTTTTTTCCACTAGCAGAGCTCCTCCAACAACTTTTACAGGCTCAGACCTTTACATTGCTGAACAAGCTTCTGTATGTGTGCCTATTCATTAGATAAGTGGTGGGGAAAGTGTGAGACACTTCTGACACATTTTATTTGGTCAGGAATTTTTTTAATAAAACTTAATTTAACGATGGGCCTCTTCTTTATAGCCTGCCAGGAGAATTACTTTCCCTTAGCCAATTAGAATTTTTATTAAGGTAACAGGGAGTACCTGTCATAATTGAAATATTGTGAGTGTGCATGTGTGTATATGTGTTGCTTTCTTAAGACGGTCTTGATGTGCATCGAAGACTGGCCTGGAGCCTGCAGCAGATCTTCCTGCCCCCACTTCCCTAGTGCTGAGATTACAGGCTGGTGAGCAGTAGAGCTGGCTAGTTATGTGTGTGTGCATACATGTGCTGCGGTTCTCTGGATGCCTGGGCCAGTGGAGGTAGAAGTCAGCCTCACCCATCGCTCTTTAGGAGCCATCCATCTTGTTTTGTTTTCTAGTTTTTACCACATTGATTGATTAATTAAGGTAGGTGCATGTGAGCACAGGCAAGTGTAAACATGAACAAGCACATGCAAGAACAAGCATGTGTGTCCTACCATACAAATGTGGAGATCAAAGGAAACTTTTGAGAACTGATTTTCTCCTTCTACCATG